ACAAAATTTAGCCGGGCATGGTGTGGGCGCCTGTAATCCCAGCTACTCGGGAGGCTAAGGCAGGAGAATCTCTTGAACCCAGGATGCGGAGATGACAGTGAGACAACTCCTGGGCAACAAGAGTGAAAGTCTGTCTCTAAACTAAAATAAAAAATAAAAAAAGATTTTTGTTGGGGCTTCAAAAGGAAAATGTGGAAGGTTCTAGTAAGCTTTCTGATGCTAATAGAAATGGGTAGATTGATTTCTTCCTGGCTGGAAGTTTCCTTGTATGGGGGTTTATGGCAGCAAAATGTACACATCCCAGTGCTAAGGGGCTGTCTCCTTTCAAACAGGAAAATACCTTTGAAGGGGATCAATGGCAGCTGAATTTTCAGGAGGCTTCAGTTAACTTTAGACAGTGTTTCTTTCTGCAGCTTCTGTCTGTTCAGACATTTTCAGTTTAAAATAATTTTCATGCCACTATAATAATAACAGATTTGTTACTGGATGCACAACAAATGGATATAGTAACACAACAGCGATTGAAAAAGAGAAAGAGTTTAATTTTCATAGGGCAGCCAAATGAGTACATGGGAGGTAACCTAAAATTTGGTTTTGGGTTTAGGGATAGGGTTTTTAAGAAGTCTGGAAAAGGGCCAAAGTGTGAGGATTTCTGATTCATCAAGAAGTGAGGGGTGAAGTCGTGGGACAGGGACATGAAGAAATTCAGCATTCAGCATTCTTGTGCCAAGCCAGTTCCTTGGTAGAGGTCTTCAGACTGGTTAGCATTAGCTGTTGCACTGGAATTCAGGATCAGAAAAACACCTTAAGCAATTCTTAAGCAAAAAGGTCTCATGATTCTGGTATCAGAAATTCTACCTATAGGAACAATTGGGGAATAGGTGGTCAGCATGCTACTTGCGAAGTTAGAAGCTACAGGGAAGTGGGTTGAAGTGTACCAGCATGCTATGATTAATGTGCAATTCTGCCTAGAGCCTGGCTTGCAACACTCCATAACTCTGCAAGGGCAGTATTGCCATATTGGTGGGCTGTGAATCCCTTCAATCCATCATTAGAAAATTGCACATCAAAACAATGGGATAATACTACACACCTACATGAATGACTAAAATGCAGTGAAAACTGACATCATCAAAGCTGGTAAGGATGCAGAGCAGCAAAAATGCTGATTGACAGGACTTTGAACCTGGAGGCATATTTTGGGGTGACATATTCTTACTTCCTATGAGAGTTCAGTTAGGCTAATTTGGATCTCACAACCATCCCTTGGCTCAATAGAGGGGACTGCAGACCTTAGTGGCCAGCCTCACTAATACTGCACACAAAAGAGGAAGGGTAGATACCTAAGGGGAGTCAATATGCAGCTATCCAAATAAGGGGTGGACCACCAGGAAAGCCAGAGAAACAACACAAAGCTATTACTAATTGCCCTTAAATCTACTTTCCTCCTGTACTATTTTGAACAACCATCTGCTAACCCTTTAATAAAAGCAAGTTTTAAAGAGTTACTTAAATGAGGTATTTGTGAGAACCTACTATAGGAGACCAGAATATGCCACCCCAAAATTTGCTTCTGTAGTATAAATACTATTTTGAACTGCTTATTTTGAGAAGCAGTATACACAAGACAAGCTCTGAAAATAGAGTGCACGTTGCCCTTTTGTAAGGAAATTTGCGTTTATAAGGGAAACCCTCATTTGTAAGGATGTCTCCCTCTCTGTACCAGAAAGAGAAAGGTGACTCTAAATCAAAAGAAACCCTTATCAGTGGAGAAGGTACTGACTTAAATCTGCATGAGTAAGCTTTCCCTTGTGTACTATACTTTTCCTGGTCATCTCCCTGTAAGTTGCTCCCCGACACACTTCTTCCTTTGCTTTAACTGAAGGCATTTAAGTCTAAGTTCTAGCCACCTCTTTGAGTTGCTTTCTGAGCTTCTCTCATGTATACATGAGATACACATGTTACTACATTTCTATTTTTCTCTTGTTAATCTGACTTTTGCTACAGTGGCCCCAGCCAAGAACCAAATGGGTAGAAGGAAAATATTTTTCCTTTTCTACATATATTTTGAAGAGCATTTGTCAACTGAGAAAAACAAACAGTATTGTTTCTTCTCATATGTATATTGATCCTACAGGCAGAGCTACTGGTTTAATACTAGTCTCTTCTGAGTTTGGTTGGTAGAGATTGTCATCCCCAGGTGTCTGCTCCTCCCCAGGTGCACTCAAAAATTGCAAAGTTGAGGAACTGCCTTTGGAACATGATGACCAATCTAGATACACTGACTACTCATTGAGACCAGAGTTACAGGAAAGTATGCAGTCACTTAATAAATAATGTTGACACTTTGACCTTTTTTTAAATGTTTCAAGGCCAGAGTCATTCCACATTGTACGAGTCTGAAGAACACAAGGTACTTTAACATTTAGCACCCTGCCCAAACTGCTCTAGGGAAAATTGTGTGAAGTAAACATTTGTTACTTTGCATCTCACTCCTGCAATTAGCAAACAGAATTTCTCATGGACTCAACTTGCTTGTGAACCCAACATTTTTGTTTTGTTTTGCTTTTTTTTTATTTGAGGCTGGCTGGAGTGCGGTGGTGCAATCTCGGTCCACTGCAATCTTCGCCTCTGGGTTCAAGCGATTCCCCTGCCTCAGCCTCCTGAATAGCTGGGACTACAAGTGCGTGCCACCACACCTGGCTAATTTTTTTTGTTGTTGTTGTTAGTAGAGAGGGGGTTGCACCATGTTGGCCGGGATGGTCTCAATCTCCTGACCTCGTGATCCACCTGCCTCAGCCTCCCAAAGTGCTGGAATTACAGGCGTGAGCCACTGCACCCGGCCTTCCCAACACTTTTTTATCCCATTTATTTCCTCTTTCCTACACAAAATTTAAGTCTTAAGCTCCATTCTTGAGCAATATTGCAGTTTAAAGTCTTTCAACCCCTGCCCTGTCTCTACCAAGTAAAAATGGTTATTTTCAGATAAAATTATTTGTGCTAATATATTCTACTTGACGTGTTGTCCTTAGGAAATGTAATGCTTTAGTCCATCTTTTTTTCGAGATAGAGTCTCACTTTGTCACCTGGGCTAGAGTACAGTGGCGTGATCTCAGCTTACTGTAACCTCTGCCTCCTTGGTTCAAGGGATTCTCGTGCCTCAGCCTCCCAAGTAGCTGGAATTACAAGCATGGGCCACCATGCCTGGTTAATTTTCTTATTTTTAGTAGAAATGGGGTATCACCATGTTGGCCAGGCTGGTCTCAAACTCCTGACCTCAAGTGATCTGCCTGCCTCAATCTCCCAATGTGCTGGGATTACAGG